CACTTTTCCCAAGTTAATTATAGTCTATTTCACCTGCGTAAGATGTAGCTTCCTGTAGATGGAAGAATTTTCAAAATCAGTCCAATGGTTTTAGAGCCTATTCAATGCAAAAAGCAATAAACAAACACTCCAATTTTTCTCTTCATAATATTATAGCATAGAAATGTTGAATAATTATCTTTACTACAAAGGGACTTAGGTATTTATCAATTTTTCATATATAAGAATAATATCAATTATTAGATTTCTAGCCGTATAAATATTAGTAAGATTATTTACTCCTGTATAAACAGCTTCAATAATTGAGCATACCGTGACATGGTTGTAATTACAATGATAAATTGAAATAGAATAATAGAAATAGAATTGAATATAAATTGATAGATTGAAATATAATAGTAAACAATGGTTACTATGGAAATGTTTCAGTTCCCATTTTCACTTACACTTCCATTTTTATCCCTTTATTTTCTGTTTCCAGGATAAAATATAGCTTATGTTTACCGCATATGATGTAGCTTCCCGTAGGTGACAGAATTTTTGAAATCGTTTCATTAGTTTCGGAGCCTATTCGTTGCAAACAAACGAACAAATCTTTTCTCTTTATGATATTACTATAGAAAACAAGAAATGGAAGAAACGGTGACATGAAGGGTTATTTATAGAAATCTTAAAACTGCAGTAAATCTCACCTATAATTTTGTTACAATAAAATAATATACACCTTCAAAACATGTTAAAAGTCATAGCTATTATTTTACTAAAAATAAATAAGTTATTTCTTTATGATGAAACATAGATAACATATTAGTATTATACTAAATCAGAAAGCTGTATAACCTTGATATATAATTATGATTATTGAAAAGTGTCTAGACGAAAAAAAAATATGAATATAAGACAGCAGAGAGTTATTTCTGTTATATCTTTTTAAATTATGAATTATATATTACTTGTTATTACCTAAATAACTTATTACCTATATAGTGATATAGACGAGCTCGATGGCAGCATTTAACAAGCAATTTTCGTAAGGGCTGATCATAGTATGGGTGACCAATAGTTTAATATGCCGAGTTCTTCCATGTTTCGGAGGGAAAATTAAGATATTAATAAGGGCTGCACCTGCATTAGTTAACACCTGCCATTCCACACTAGGTCTGTGGTGGATCATGGCTATTCTGGTGCCGCGCACATACATTAATGGGCTAATGATGAATAAGACACACATGATTTTGACAGACTATCTATATAGTCTGAAATTGCGGTTAGTTAAATAAAATAATTGTTTATAACTAGTGGAAATTTACATAATTATTATAATAAAGAACTAACAGTGTATGTTATTTATAGACGAAACAAAAGGTATTAAGGAAATATCAATACAATAATACATATAGAAAAGATTAGTACTTCGTTAGCAATTTCATCACGTATAGGTTAAGACTGGCCTTGCGCTGCGGTCCAACGCTGCATTCATTACTTTTGAATTCCATTGTGTTAACCCAACTTTTCACTTAAATTCGAACAACGGAATGAAATGAAATAATAACTGGTACTTTGAATTATTAAGTGCTACAACAATTAGCTACAAATGAATTTAATTTATTAACCACTGATGAGCTTTCTATAGATTACATTAGGAATTACAGCAGGAATTTACTATGAGATATGTTCCGTATTATTTTTTTGGCGTAGGCGAAGGGCTATCCATAAATTAACTATATCAATGATCTTTCGTGTTTTTTGAGTCATATTTTTTTTATAAGGCAATCCTTCGTCTTGTCTTGTGTGACGTTACAGAATTAAAAAGTAAAGCGATTGAAATGTTAAGATCATATATTTATTGAGTTTGAAGTGTTTTTAAATTTCATATTTTAACAAAAACGCTAAAAAGAATGATACATACCTATTACTCTTATTTTGTTTCAGTCACAGAACACAGACTTTTGTGGTTTCATTACTTAGACATTTTGTCATAGAACAAAAAAAAAGAAAAAAGCATTTTGTAATAATCAATAATGTAAAAATAATGAGGGTGTATAAATTTGTGACGTCACATAAATTTGTACTCCCTTCTCTCTATTATAGTGATTTAGTTTCCGATATCTATGTTGCTTCCTTTATCGTGCTATTACATTTTGTCGACTATGAAAAATATGGATTTGTCTTCGGTTCCTATCAGTAGACTTGAAACCTAAAGAACTTTTGATCTTGCACAGTGCACACCTTCGAGGCAGTAACAAAGCTCGTTTGGCATTTTCATATACTCGTATATTATTACTTAGGAAATTTATTTCGAAGAATTGTATCACGAACAATCAAGTTATATTTTTTAAATACTTACTCACTGACTTGAGTATCTTAAGAGACGAGCTAAATGACGCAATGGTTAGAGCTTTCGGTCTGCGATGCGGAAGTTTTGAAAAAGCCGATCATACGATGGGTGTTCTTCCGCACTTTGAAAGGCACATTGGTCCGTTAATGCATCTGCAGTAACATACACTAAAGCGTATTGGACCCGCGCGGTACGAATTAGTGGATGTTAACGTAGATGCAGTCGGTACCAATTGCGCATCGGTAATTGTCCCTATTTGATTTGGTTCCATCCATGGGAAAAGTCCTAGCAATTATCCCTTAATAGGCTGATGATGAAGATAGTAAACAGAATATTACTATGTCCGTTTAAAAAAATAAACGCCTTTTTCCTCGACCTACGTGTTCGAGTGGCTTTTATAACGATTTCAAGTTGTGGCTATATTTGAGGTATCTTTCCAGTCGTGTTAGTAGTTCATAACACAAGCTTTAGTTTATTAAGTTTCTAATCTGAGGAACGTCGTTATGTACAGTCATCAGGTCACAGGTTACACGAAACTGTTAAATTTTTCCACTTGATTTAAAAACGTTAATATTTTGACTGCAGAGTGCAAAGTCAATTGAGAAAACTTTAAATATTGAGTTAAGATCACGTGCAGCTGTGTTTACATATGTCTAAGTAGTGTAATAGGATATAATTTAGTAATTGTTGTATAAAAATTCTTTATTACATTAGGTGGATACGTAATGGGTTACAAAAGCATCATCTATGTCGCACAATTCCTATAGTTTAATATTTTGCGACGACAGTCTAGCCTGAAAGAAACTGTATTTATTAACGTTGCGACGGTCAGTAAATAGGGTGCCTCCTTTATATTAAGCCCGACAGTCCATCAGACGCGCTATTAGCCGCCTCCATTGCCAGTAAATGGCATTCGAAAGACTTAGATACGACACTATTTAAATGATATTTTGTTTATTTACATTTACAATTATTATTCAAGCTTATAAGCTAGCCAATGTGACCTAGTTAAACTTATTTTTCCTTAACTGTAATGTATATGAGATTATTTTTTACTCTAATCATTTTTCTAATAATTAAATATAAAAAAATAAAACGAGTTTTAATTTGTTCTAATTTAAAAATACAAGGTATTTATTAATTACTATTTTTAATTAGCTCTAGAGTTTTAGCCTTCATGCCTTGTGTAAAATGAAAACCAAATAAATATGGCTCAAACGTCTTTGTCTCTCTTAAAGTAGTAGGGCAAGAAAAGAATTATATTATACTTAACTAAAAATTTATTTAAAAAATGTGCAAAGCAGTTTCTTCAATCCAAAAATACCAGTTATTTGAATGATAAAATTGAAGTAGATAGCAAATGTTTAAGCGATTATAGTATGTATTTCCTAACTTTTGTTAAGTTTTATTGATGTATATAATTTGTGGCATGTGCACTTGCATTTTCAAAATTTACTTACTTACTTTGACTTTGAACCGCGAGGCAGGTGCGGTCCACATTATCCACGCCTTTCGCCGCCTCTGATTGCTTGTATGTCTATGGATCGCCGGCGAATCTCTAATGAAACCGCCTCTGTTTATTTTGCCAATACAAAATGAGAAATGAGTGCAGCAAACCTTGCATTCTTATTCACACCGTAAGCTAGGTATATTGCAATTAATTGTAAGTTTCACGAAACTGTAATTAAGTGTTAGAATAAATTTATAAACCAGAACACTAACTCTCTTTTATAAAAATAATTTGACAATTCTATGTTAATCTGGCAGCGAAACAAAAAGTCTATACTTTTTGTATAGGCTTGTAACTAATGACTGAATAACACAGAAATGGGTATTTATTTGCTACACTCATTAATTATTAAATATATAATATTAATAGGATAAAAATTTTTTATTACGTCTCAAATAAGTGAAGAGATTGAATTGCGAAATCTTGCGTTATCGGTTACCGTTTGTGCCAGAATGCGCCAAGCGTGCAAAACATTTTTTAAATATGAGAAAAGAAAATAATGATTGGCACTTGTTTAAGTTGACCTTAGTATTTCTGGAAAACTGTAAGAAACAGAAGCTATTTGGTCAATAGGAAAAATAACACCAGACAGGGATTGTCAGTGGTCCGCGAGCGGGCGCTTCTTGCAATCCTCTGGATTAAGCCTCAAACACGCACGGGCGCGCCAACTTCCTATTTATGTTCGTTCAAACCAAACAACTTGTAGGCTCTTTATTACAGTTGTTCTTTTCCGCTCACGACGTCGTTACCGTTTCGATAAAATATCGTGTCGATTCTTTGTTTCGAGCGGAGGGGCTTAAGTTACGCTCGGGCGGTAGTTGATTCAGAATTAAGAATATAAACGTTTCCGTTTGCAGGAAACTGAATATTTATGGTGAGCTGCGCCGTTCTCATCGTGTGATTATCATTGAAAATGTAAATTCAATTTTATTTACATTGAAATGGCGTTAAGTTATTCATGTTTTATTTGGTGGTTTAGCTGTAAGGATTAGGTTTGGTTCGTGCAAAATTTGGTGAAAGTTCACGACACGTTATTTGTTATTATTCTTTTCTAGGATGTTAATCAAAACCAAAGAGAATTAAAATCCAAAATTGTGAATTCAATTTTTTTATTTTCAGATGAACTGACAAAATGTCATGAGCACGTCGAGGATGGAGAGGGCGGGCCGGCGAGTGAAGGCGGGCTCGCTGAGCGGTTTGTCGGGCAACGCTACTGGTAGCGCTGCTAGCGTGCGGCGGCAGCGATCGCTCGAGTGGGGTGGTGACCGCTACAGTAGCAGCGACGATGACCGTCCACCGCAGCCGCCACCGCTAGCGGATCGCGTGTTCGCGTCACTACTCGCTCAAGCCACTCAACAGTTTGATGGTAAGTTTAATATGGATATAATAATAATAATAAAACTTATTCATTCACTCAAACCCAAAATTTTACATACAGTTGTTTATATTATTATTAAGTACAGGGCAAATGCTTAATATAGGTTTTATACATATTGCTTCAGGTTATAGATCTCTGACCCCGTAACTAGAAAATCTGTATTATCAGGGCCAGCGATTCCTCAGTAAGTTGTTTATAAAGGAATGTGAATCGAGGACGCTTCGTACTGAAAAACTTAAGATAAGCAGGGTAAAGGTCATAAAAACTTTAGAAGTGTGTGTTTTTGTGTGTGAGTGAGTGTGTTTATGTTTGTATGTGAGTGTGTGAGTGTGTGTGGTGTGGTATGTATTGTGTGCGTGGATAAGCCTGTGTTTAGGTTTTTTGTGTGCTATAGTTGTGTGAGTACCTTTGTGCGTGAATAAAGAATTTAATATTTAAATGGATTAGTGTTAAGCAATGTTATGTTTATTTATTTAAGTTTTATGTTTATTTATCTAATATTATAAATATTTCATATTCTACCTCTTATAGATGTTAAGTAGAATCTATTAGCTGCTTATTATTTCGTATCCGTAAAGTATGATTATAGTCTTAGCAAATCTCGGAATATATTTTAATTAAAACCCAGAGACCAGAGGTAAGTAACCGAATATGGAATATAACACATCTAACATGGTGTATAGATACGCAATATGTCAGCCACATTAGTTTCATATTTGACGGACGAGCTGTTGCGGTGAGGCTTGGCGGGATCAACTTAGAATTTGTTATTCATTCAGCGACACGGTCGAAGGTCCGCTCTGGGTTCTAACAAGTGGGATCATTAGTGAGGGCTCCGGGGGTAGGGGAGGGGATCACAGCAATTGATAGGGGAGCGCCCTGCGGTGGGCTTATGAGGAAAACTTTACACGTAAACCTACAGAACCTTCTACGTTGTGTTATGCTAGCGAAGAGTTGATAGTCTTAGAGATGCGCCTATAATTTTAAAGAGCGTGATTCGTTATTTGATTAACGGATAAAACTATAAAATAATAATATAAGATCTCTCAACGAAATATTATTTAAATAATATAATTTATATAAATATAAATAAGTTATTTAGTTATCGAGATAACGACAGATCTATTAGTAATACTGGGTATCAGTCTCGTGCTCAAAGTGTTCCTTACTAATATTTAACTTATCCAAAATATATATAAGCAACATTTTTTTGTGTCTGTATTATTCTTTTAAAAACACAGCGTGGGAAGCTCTGTCGTGGAATAAGAGGTCAAATCATATTAAACCTTATTTATAAGTTAATAAAAGATGATAACGTTTGCTGCGGTAATATAATGCCTAAGTGTAGCAGAGTGCATTTTGGATTGTACCTAATTTAGGCTCAACGAGTTTACCTTGGATTCACGATGTAAATGTGATAAATGGGAAAAAAACGCTGCGTTCAAATACTAGGTTCATTTAAAGCATACAGTAAAAGTAAAAGTTACACAGTAAAACCAAATTAATAGGAAATCAAAGTTTATTAGGGTATAGCGCAGTTATATTGGGTTACATAATAGTGAATCATTGAAATGATATGAAAATATCTTTATTCAAGTAGGCAGTAGTAAGTAAGTTTGAATAGTCCAAAAAATTTTTTCCTCTACCACTTGTTCAGGACGTCTTTTAGCTGACAAGAAAAACAAGCGAAAGAAACTGAACAGCTCTTTATCATAAGTAATGATATTTACATAAATCATGTAATATTACCAAAATAATATGTATTATCACACTAATAAATACAACTTTCAAAGTCTGTAGGACAAAGCGAAGCCTATTAATTCCATGCATTGCGATTCTTAAAATAATCATCAACTTTATAATAGCCTTTACTCATAAGTATGTTCTTTACATGAATTTTAAATTTATTTATGGGTAGGTCAACTACATTTTGTGGAACTTAATTGAACATTTTTTCAAACAATGAAAAAAACCCACAATCCCGTCGCCTGTTAATACCGAGCAACAAACGATACGAATTGTCTGGTGCTCCTGGTGCAAAGATGTAATGATAATCAGATTAACTTGCACATGAGTATACCGCTATACCGGAGTATGACGCTGTTTCGTAATATGACGTCATACATATGACTAATATGACAATTGAAATTATTCCAAAGTTATCTGGAAGACCGTTCACAAAGTGTTAAAACCGGCAATGTGATTAGTGCTGAGTTGAGAAGTACTTCTTTTGGGGTTCCCCATGGGAGTATTCTAGGGCCGACGCTATTTTTTATATACATAAACGACCTCTGTAATGTTAAGTTAGATAAGAGTTATATTTTAACATATGCCGATGACACTGCTCTTCTTTTTCGGCTAAAACAAAGGACGACGTTTACAGGTTGGCGCAATGTGGGTTCAATTTAGTTAATAAGTAGCTTCAGGATCATTTATTAATAATAAGTGTAAAGAAAACGTATCATATGATTTAAATGCGTAATTCAACAGCTTCTAACACTGACTCATCACTATTTGCTCATTATTGTAGCGTGCCATATGTTAACCAATGTGCATGCCCAAATATCTAAATCACTAATTCCAATAAATATCTAGGGATTATATGGGAAAATCTTTCATACAAGAAACATATTGAGGCTGTAAATAACAGAATTCGTAAGATATTTGTTTTTAAAAAGTTAAGACATATTGTAGACGTTGCAACAATTAAACAAGTTTACATTACTATTATCTACTGAGAGAGCACAGAGTGCTATTCTTAAGGTTTCTACTTTTCATCCTTTCCTTTACCCTACTAATTTGCTCTATGAAAATTGCAAGGTTTTAACAGTTCGGCAGTTAATCATTATGAGTATTGTACTAAAACAACACGCTGCAATTTCTTATAACACAGAAATTACTAACAAAAGACGACACGATAAAGTTTGCACTCAAAAAACTAACGTGAAATGCATTTTTACAACTAAATTCTATGCGTTCCTAGGCCCGTTACTATACAATATATTAAATGCCAACGGGGCGCAGTGCATCGCCGAGTCAGGCACAAAATAAAGTATTTACCACTTCATAAACATGTAGAAACTTACTAAAATTAGATCATGTGAAGAAGAATTAGAATACATTCGAAAGAAAATCCGTAAATTAGAAAATAATGTGTGATAAGGAAAGTTCAATGACTCTTTTCAGTTGAGTATATTGAATATTAATACATGTATTTTGTCTGATAACATAGGTATACTATTAAGGCCTCTACTTTTTACTTTCTACTTAGTTAATTATAAAGAACATATGATCACATTTTAGTTCGGTAAAGTTTTATAAGAAAAAAACTTATCTATAATATCAGATTGCAAAATCAAACAATATTACAACAAAATAGAAGCTCTGCATTAAAATGAATCTGCTGTGAAAAGAAAAATCTCATATCGTCACACTATACGCCATTAGATGTGCCTGCAATTTCATATTCTTGTGATAACGGTATCATCGTATGAAGCTTAACGAGAGCGTTTCATAAAACTCATGATATAGAACAGGAATTTTTCTAACTTCTTGGTCTTCGTAGTTTCTTTCGTATAATTAAATTGCTTCTTTCAGGAAGACCCTCATTGAAATTTTTTTTAAATCTCTCCCCTAAGACTTTTACAATATTTACATATTCCAAAATCTTAAACCCTCTTATACCCTAAAATCCTAACATTTGTAACCCACGCGGTCCCCCAACATGAGAATAAAATGAGAATTTTGTTTAGCCAAGCCTTAACATAATTTCGTTTATTTTTAGTTCGAATTTGACAGTTATGTTTCTTAATCTTTAAAGTATTTTATATTCTTCTTAGTGACCAGTAAATAAATACCAAGTACATATTTTTGTAATCAGTCCTTTAATTTGATACACAAATTGTTATAATTGAAGAAATATTATATTTCGTATTTTTAAATTCTTTCATACATCCGTTTATTGAATCCAGCTTTCCGCCAGCTGCTTCGCCCGCGTGGATTTATATTATACATAAAAACCTTCCTTTTGAATCACCCGATCTATGTAAAAAAAAACTATCATCAAAATCTGTTGAGTTATTTTAAAGATTTAAGCATGCATAGGAATATAGGGACAGAGAAAACGACTTTGTTTTATACTATGTAGTGATTTAAAAGAAACACATGGCTTTCAAAAGTTATGCTGGAATGAAGAAACTCACATAGGTACATTATATACATTAACCCTAAATATTATCAGGATTTTGAATACTCGTGCCTTTAAATACTTTCGTAGACACTATTTTGAAACAAAATAAAAAATAGAACAAAAGAAATTGTGTAGTCTTGAAGTATAAAGCATTTAATTAAATAAATGTATTCTTAATGAAAAAATGCTTAAAAATCGAACCCATGACAATTTCCAATCCTTAACACTTAACAGGACTGACGAATCTTTCAAGCACTTGTTACTTTTTAGTTACTACAGAGCGTATCCTCATCAAGGTTCAGGCAATCCACCCAAACAGCCGAATAAATATTTTTACAAATATTTAAACCGCTATCCTATTTACTTCCCATGTAATGTAATTCTAGCTTCGAAAGTGCAGTTTGTTTGTTGTCGCTGTATTTGGGGTGGCATATCAATTTACTAATTACTTTAGAGTACAGAAGCACATAAGGTTCTTACCACTGAACTAGAATTTTTAATAGCATTAAGGCATGATATCAGCAATTAAAGAAATATGACAATTTAACGAACTTGATATGTTACAGAATATACAAATAACGAACTTAACGATGAAGTCATTATTTACCTAAAGAACGCGATGAAACAAATGCTTTTTAAATGAAATAAATTCATCTGAGAATATCACTTCATTCATGGAGAAGGATAATGCCCCAGCAATAGAGTTAATTGCAATCATGTTAATTGCTACCAATATTTTATATAAAAAATTATGATGTCTCCATATAGTCCAAATTTCAACAGATCTCATGTAGTGGAAAAATTTTAACTTTATAAACTTTACAGCAGCGTTTCTTAATCCCGGGTCGCGATAAGAAATCATGTTTTGAGTTAAAATTTGATGTCGTTATGTACAGAACGAGCAAAGCGTACGTAACGCGGCAGATTCTGGTGAAGGTTCTCTTTGGTGAAGATTCTTTATTATATTTCCCTGTAGGAATAAAAAAAAATATGTCTTTTAGTTATGCTTAGCCTAATTTAAGTCAATTAAAATTAATTATTACCTTGATATATGTAGGTGGAGGAATGCTACAATTTAAAACTTTACAAAAGATGTCATATGAGGACACAGGGAAGTTTTTAATTGTATTAAAATAACTTTCATCTCCTGTTATTATTCATTTGTTTGTTTTATTTTTAATATTTAAGATATAATGTTTGCTGATTAAGTAGTGATTATATAATAAAACTATATTATGACACACAGGCCGACCTTGTTCAGACATAAACTATAAACGTTTACATACATACAAAATGTTGATGTATTTAAAAAAATAAAGTAACTAGTTATGTTAAAAAAAAAAATATAAGCTATATTTATATTATACGTTAATATCACCTTAAATACACTGTAATACTGTAATTTATGAATAAATTGTGATTGTTATAATTTTAAAATGACGAGTAAAATTTAAAATATGTTGGAACACATGTAGGTATTATGAATGCTATACATTGAAAAAATATTCGAAGAAATATTTGGTAGATACGTAATGACATTTTCTATTATAGGATCGTAAATAAATTGGTATTTGTGAAAGGTTTTTATTAAACGACAAAGTGGATATTTATTACGCCCGCTG